TTTTTCGCGCCTGATTTAGAAAAAGTAAAATTTCTTAGCAGTGAAGAGGAATTTCAAAAATCCGGAGTTATACTTTTGTTGTATGAATCAAAGCGGCTCGAATAGCATCAGTAATAGGGTTTCATCTCCTCACACAAAAAACTAGATAGATTTTTGAACCCTCCGCAACATGGGTCATCTGTCAGGCCAGTTTCTTGGCTACGAGCTCGTAAAATACATTTTCAAATTCTATTTTCGCTGCCGAATCAGAAAAAAATTGCTTTGGAGCTTCAAGGTGAAACGTAGAAAAATGTAGCTTTTTTTCGGGGACCGACGGTTTTTCAAGCTCTCAAAGTATTCTCGATTTTTTGAACGGAAAACTTGGTCTGGGAAGGCTAAGACCAAGTTATTCTTGCTCAGGTCATCCTCTCCTCTCGAATGATGTTGATTCGATCGAACATAAAATAGCGATGAAAAATGTCTCAGCGGATACTATAGCGCGCGTTTCGCGTTGGAAAGGAAAGCAAGGGTATTTCTTTTGCTATCAGATGAGAAGTTTCGTTGAAGAATAAATAAATGCATTTTTACCTGTTCTGATTACATATTCCAGGCCGAAGAAATTTTTAGGAATCAAATTCAATGATTGATATTCTTTTTCGGATAACTGTGTAACCGCCGCTAACGCGTTAAAAAATTGTTCTGCCACCAAATCATGGATTATCGTTATAACGATAATCCATGATTTGGTGGCAGAACAATTTTTTTTTACTGTTTCTTCATATTTTGATAAAACAATTTCATACGGATTGAGTATTGCTTGAAAAGCTTGTTCATCATGATATTCACCATTGTCCGTATGTTCAGGAAGCAGCTTGATAACACCTTGTGTATTTGTTTCTTTTTCATCTTGATATTTTACCAAATATTGTCCAAACACCAACAATTGTTCTTTTTTCAATTTTTTAATGCATTGATCAGCGGCTTTGGCGTCTGATATTATTACTCTGTGTTGTTTTTTTAATCCTCTGACTACATCATTAATTTTTTGTTTTGAGATGATGACTGAATCTTGCCATATAATGTTTTTTTGCATATAACTTGTTGTTGTTCAGGTGTTAATTGATCTTCAGGAGATTCAGTTGTATCATCTTGTAATTTTTTAGATATCATTCGTCGTCCTAGAATAATGCGCAGAAATACTGTAATGAAAAGGGGTGTGCAAGGTACGTACGTTTTGCTGGAATTGGTTGTGATTGTTCACTTGAACCATTTGCTGTTAACGATTTGTTACGGCGATCATTTGACGATGTCATCTGTTGAGAACACCATTGAAGAACTAGAACGAGAATGCAAATTAAAATCAACTGTTTCTGCAAAATATTTAAAACTAAGAGTTAAAATATTTACTATCATCATTATCTGCTGCCGTTGTAGATGTTTTTGTCGATTTTAATGATTGTTTGCTTGTACTCGACGTTAAACTTGCATTACGATCGAGTTCATCTAGAACGAACTAAATTTTGAATTAGAAAAACGAGAACAAGCATAATATGGAGTATGAATAGCAAAGATTACATTTAAGTTTTTCGGGTATCAGTTTNAAGAATAATACAGTGCGCTATCATATATCAATTTGTAGGTCTAACTCTTGCTGACAATCGAGCAATCTCAAAAATATTTGGGAACAAAAACTTAGGATGATATACGTTTTTTTCTAACAGCCCTAGAATTTGTACATTGGGTTTGGGTGCATGCTTAGTCTAGGATAGTTTGATTGAGACTGAATTTGAAAGCTTGAGAGATTCTTTCAAGACAAATTGATTACACCAGGAAAGTGTTTGTAAGCACTTCCTCATTCATAACTTGACGCTTTCCTTTAGTGAACGAACTTTCCGTGTAGTATAAACGCTTGTGATGCTGATTTCGTGGAAAAAATTCATTCCATATAAATTTTTTCTTGAGTTTCCTAAATGGTAGTCTCTTTTGCCTTTCAACAGTGATAAGATATAAACGACAATAACGAGAAAGAAAAAAAGGGCTGCGTAGAAAAAACAACTTTTTTTTAATGCGATACAAAAATTTGTCATGACAATATCCTTTTATTTACTAAACTTACGCTTTTGATATGTTTTTTCAGGAGTCGGTGGTTTGGAAACAACCGGTTGTGTGTCAGCCAAAGAATGAGCATTTGATAAATCCTGTTGTTCAGTTTAAATAACAGATTGTTGTTCAACAGTATTGGTAGTTCCCGACGAAACTGTTTGTTTATGTTGTGGTTCAACGATGACATTATTTGCAACTAAGAAATGAAAAAAATAGAAAAGATGAATATATATGAATCAAAGCTATTCTTTTCTACAGTAACCGTTGTAGGAGAAAATTTGAGTTTTTTTTTCTTTTTTGAGATTATAGTAAAATCTATTTAGGAAAATTTGAAAGTGTGTTATCAATCAAAAAGCTCTAGTTAGTCTCTAAGTGAACGGAAAACCACTTGTTTCTTTTGAAATATTTACTCGAAGCTGTTGCTGATGATCGTGAATGTTGTTGCTGTATTTGCTGTGGATCTGTTGAATTGGAAGAAGCGACTATTTGTTGGCGTTGTTGTTTAGGATTAATATTGGATGGCACATTAGTAATCTGTTTCAGTACTTTTTGTTTCCTAGTGGCTGGTACTAAATGACAACGTGTTATAACTAAAGATTCGAGACAAATAAAAGTAACTATTGAGATCGCCTTTGTATTTGCACATTAATAATTACCGGCATCCAAAAATCTATCAGCATTATTCAAAACCAAGTCATGATTGTCA